CTGTTTTATCTTGATTAACTAGTATCTTCAGATTCAAGAGTCAGTGCTCTCAGTTCATTCAGTGAGTATCTGTTATATTGAATGATATATCTTGCTCTCATCATGAGAGAGCATCTATTATTGAGTTCTGACTGTCAGAACAGTAGTGTATCATAAAATGAAAGTGACTTAAGAACTCAGATTATTATATCTATCATTCAGTGAGTTTACAGATAGTTGTGAAATATTTGAGATTCTTATAATCTATGACTATCTTGAATTCAGAGATACTTCAGAGTTCAGAGTCTCATTCTTCTAAATAATGTATGATTATGAGAAGTTTTCTATCATAGATCTCCTAATTGCATTCAGTGAGACTCAGTTTCTTAGACATGAAAGCATATAATTATAGAATATTTTTATCATTATATTACAATATTACTTCTTCTGTTATATAGTCAGAGAAATTAGCTTCAATAACTATCTTATAATCAGAATTAAATATTATTAATAGAGAGATATTAATGAATATCTTCTTTATCTGTGTAAATACAGCTTCAGTGTTCACTGATTATTGAAATACTGAGTTCTTCTTAGTGAGTTCTGTAAGTGATCTTGTGATATCTGAGAAGTTTTGTATAAATTACTGATAGAAGTTAGTGAATTCAATGAAGCTTTATACATCTTTCACAGTATATGAAGCTTTTCATTTGAGAATGACAGAGATCTTCTTAGAATTCATTTAAATCTTCTTATCAGCTTCTATGATGAAATCTAAGTATTTAGTACTCTTAACTTTGAAATCACACTTATCAATATTAATTAATAGTTCTGCTTCTTATAGTTATTATAATACTCTTTATACATACTCTTGATACTCTTTGCTTAATTCATCAGTGAAGATGAGAATGTCATCTAGATAAGCAGATACAAACTTATCAAGAAAATCTCAGAGTACTCAGTTGATATACTTCTGAAATGTACTGAGAGCATTAGTCAGTTCAAAGAATGTGACTATTTATTCAAAGAGATTATAATATATTCAGAATACTGTAAGTCATTCATTGTCTTCAGTGATACAAATCTTATGAAATACAGTGATGACATCTAGCTTTGTAAATCATTGATCTCACTTAATACATGTTAGAGTTTCATTGATGAGAGATAAGAAATAATGATCTTTCTCTGTCAATCTGTTCAGATCATGATAGTTCAAACAGAATCAGAGTTCTTTATCTGACTTCTTTACAAAGAGAATGGAAGCTGCAGTAGAAGAGTTGTCAATATGTATAAATCTCTTATTCAACAGATCATTGAGTGTCTTCTGAAGAAGAAGGCGTTTATCTTGAGACATATTATAAAGAGAGTCTTACAGTAACTCAGAGTTCTTATCATTTTTCTTTTCTAACTTGATACTATGATTCACTTCTGAGCCTTATAAAGATGATATATTCGTAATATTATCTTATCAGAAGACATCTAGATATTCATGATATTATTAAGAGAGTGTTGTGTGAGAATCTGTTATTGTAGTACAGAATAACTTTTCTAAGATCTTTTTAATATCAGCCAGACTGATGAAATAGATTGATATATGATTCTGCTATCAGTGAACTTGTTGATAACTCTATCAGTGATTTTAATAATGACTTCATTTTCAGAGTATTTTATAAGTATTGACAGAGATCTGTGTAAGATTCATAGTCTTGTGAATATTATCTTCATGAATCCTATCATTATTAGAGAATATCAAGCTTCTATTTCAAGTATTTAGCAAGATGCCTTGTTCAGATAGTCAGGCAAGTTCTAATATAAGATTATAATTGAGATTATCAACTTCATATGTATAGACATCTTCATGTTAATGTTCTTTCACATCTATGTTTAGTTTCACTATGTAACAGATACAAACATCTTTCAGATCATCAAATTCTACAAGAAGTCAGAGTTTTGATAAAGAGATACACTGAAGATTATAATATCTTATGACTGAAGATTTTATCATTGCATAGTGATATAGACTGCTGTCTATCATGGCTTTCATATTATACATGTTATCAATCACAGTAAATACATGAATTATATTCATTGTCATTTTCTCTTCAAATTATTATTGTCTGATCTCTTCAAGCTTCTGTTTACAAATTTGAACAGAAGCTAATCTTTTCTCTGTTTCACTGAGACATTCTTATAGTTATCTTCTGAATCTTTCTTCACTGCAATGTGATTGATGCAGACAGGTACTGATTCATTCTTTGAGTGAGAAGATATAAAGATCAATTAGCAGTTGAAAGCAATGTGTTCTGATCAGTTACAGTTGATACACACTTCATATTGACATTAATCAGCAAATTCTTCAGAAGTGATCTCAGAGACTTGAAAGCCTGTTTGAACAGCGGAAACTCTTGCTTATGTATAAACATTTGAATCTATTCAGTTCATAGCATCTGAATCATTGCTGTTCTTTAATCTGAGTGTATAAGTTACTGAGATGTAACATCTTCTGCCACTGTTCTGTATACTCTTAAGATTGATAAGATGATCATTCAATGTCTGAAGCTGTGTGCAGAAGTCTTTATAAGTCTGGTCTTCATCTATGCTTATAAGAGTCTGTAAGAGTTTGAAAGTCAATGTCTTCTTAAGCATGCTAATCTTCATTGAATTCTTTCAAGATTGATTATCTACTTCTAGAATCTTGATGTTGAAGTCAGAAATGAATATTATAAGAGAAGTATTTCTCTATTAAGCACTCTGTAATCAATCTAATGCTTTCTGTTGCATGGCAGTGTCTCAGAACAGAATATTAAGATGTTTCATAATATTATCAGATATTCATAATACTGATTTACATGCTTTCATTCATGAATAAAACTTCTGTTTCACACAATTCTTCAATTGTTCATTGATATATCAATCTTAATTAATTAATGAACTGATAACATCTTCATCTACACTCAGTTTTATGAGCTTTTTCATTCTCTATAATGAGTAGAGAGTGAGATCAGAAGTATTGAAATATGCAGAAGCATCTAAGTGTTCTTTCAGCACTTTTGTATTTGATTCTGTAACTGTTGAAATTGCATGAGTTAATTGTTGAATCTCATTGTATTGAAGTTATTGAGTTGCATGCATATCAGCTATTTATTGCTGTTGTAATTTCAACATTGCTTGAAGTCACTGTGGTATCACTTCTATGTTCGCATTTGAGGGTTCTCTCATATTGTCATTAGACATGTTGTTCATTGAGTGTATGATATCTGTGAAATCTTAAAGAAGTGTAATTATATGAATATCTCATACATCTGAGTGTCAGAACTCTCAGGTCTTTCACTGACATTCTCTTTGTAAGATCTTATTACAGGGTCAGAGTGACTGATAAGCAAGCTTCTATCTGAGAACTCAGTGTCTGCTTAACTGTTTCTCTTTCTTATGCATCATTACATGTTCAGATATCTCTCAATGAATAATTATTTCTAATGAGAAGACAATGTGTGAATAATCATTTCTAATAAGAAGACAATGTGTTGATGATTACTACATCTACCCTAGTCACGTGCCACCTCAATCTATTCATTTAGTGTAACTCGCGTAGTTAGATTATAATACAACACAACAATGTTATTCTTCAAGAGATTATGAAGCTCTCTATGCAATGAAAAGCTGCAAAATAACATGTAATTGACATCTTCACATGTTGTTACAAGCATGCCTAGATGACTTATTAAGTGATTGAACTCATGATTAATCTAAGATCTGAGAGAATGCCTGACTTAACAAAAGAATACATGCCTTCAAGACAGAGAAATGAGAAAATGTCAGAGCAGTAAATGCAAGATCACAGATTACTGTTAATATTAATAATGAATCAGAAGGCAGCTTCTGAGATGTTTGAGCTAAATGAAATCATCACAGAGAAACAGTCTGATGAGTTCAATGTATATGAAGACTCAGTTGAAGATATCAGTGAGATGTCAGACAATGCAGAGAGCTCAAGTGACTGAAACAACAATAGCTCAGTGAGTGAGAAGACTCATATAAGACTAGAAATTGCAAGACTTCAGTATGAGATTAAGTGAATAAAGATCAGTAGAGATGACTCTGCAGATGATGAGATAAGAGCAGATCTGATAGAATATCTTCAATGAAAAGAGAAGACATCTGTTATAATAAAAGTTCTTGAAAAATTCAGAATTTAAGTAAGACTTATTAAAAGATCAATAGTTCTCACTGAATTTATTAACTACTCAATGTGAAGAGAGGAAATTCTTTTGACTGCAGAACAGTCTGAAGCTGATAATATTCTTGAAGATAATAATCTTGATGAGAATATCATCATGAACATGTAATATTTCTGAAAAGAACATAATCTTTTATTATATAATTATATATGATCTGCAATTACTCTGCAGATCAAGACTTATTTCACTATACTTAAGAAATTCAAGTTGTCTACTTATACTCTATAAACTATTATAGAGAATAACTTTTCTGAGAGACCTGCTGTCTGCAGAATCTGTCTGTTTGAGAAACTGATTAATATGACTGCTAAGTTAAAAGACTCAGATCACACTTTCATTGAATGTCTGATTATCATAAGAACTGATTATATCTGTCTAGGATATGAGATCTCAGATGTCATGTTTTTCAACAGACTGCTTACAGAAGTCAACAGAGATTGAGCCTCATTTATAAGGAATTGAATGAATCAAATTGACAAAGATAATACTCAATTCTTAGAGAATGATTTTATAAGCCTGTGCTGTGATATTCTTTTGCAGCTCTCTGCTGTAAATGAAGCAAATACTGATATATCTAGAAATTCTATCAACAATGTGCAAGATAAGGATAAGAAAGACAAGAATAAAGAGAAAGACAATGACAAGAATAAGAACACTGAATTCAAACCTGAATGTAGAAATAATGATATGAGAACCTGCTATCATTGTTAAAAGATTGATCATATTCAGACTGACTGTTGAAAGAAATACCCTGAGAAATGTTCTTTGAATTTGAACTTCAATATGAATAGAAACAAGGATAAAGACAAGAATACAGAGAATACAGATGCTGCTCCTGTTCACAATGTCATAGAGCAAGTATTTTGCATCAAGAAAAAGGCCTATGTAAGTGATCAGACAGGAAAAGATATCTGAATTCTAGACTCTGAATCAGGCACTCATGTCACACCTCACAGGAATCTTGTCATGACAAAACCTCAGAAGATGAAAGTGATGTTGAAAATGACAGACAGAATGATGATCTCTGCTGCAGCTATAGAAGATACAAAGATTTCAGTGAAAGAAGTGAATATGCTGTTAAATAATATCTGCTATGTTCTGAAGTGAGAAGTGAATCTCATGAGTATGAATAAGCTTATATGTCAGGGTTATATCTGTATGCAGTTGATATATGAGAATAATTATACTATGTTAATTATATCTCCTGACTGCATATTCTCATTTACAGCAAGATTAAATGAGAATGATATCTATGAGATGAAAAGGCTGATTATATACAGAGACTTGATTCAGTTTGCTATACTCAATGATGATTTTAAATCTGTGAACACATTACAGATGAAAGATGACACAATATTGACACTATCTGAAAGGAATGATATAAAGATTATAGAACTTATAATGATGCAATGTCATTAAAAGCTAGAATATCTGAATCTCATGAATATTGCAAAAATAACAGCAGATTCATAACTAGAAATGAGAATAAAGAGTGACAGAGCTTTGCCATTCTGCAAGACCTGTATACAGATAAAAATGACACATTCAATCTTCATATCTATGATATGAGCTGTTAAGTTGATAATGAGATTCTTCATTGATCTGGCAGGAGATGGAAAAACACTTTTCAATGAGAATGACACTCTCACTAGAAAGAGTGTAAGCTACTGATTGAGTATAACAGATAATACAACTCATTATAGGTGAATAATTCTTATAATGAGAAAGAGAGAATCTACTGCAAGATTAATGAATTTCATCACAGATATTGAGATAACTACACAATATTGAGTTGAAACTCTACACTGAAATGATGAAGAAGAGTTCAAAAGTCAAGAACTTAAGATCTACTGTCAGAGTAAAGAAATAGTATACTACATCTGATACATCACAATTGAATGACTCAATGAAATGTGCGAATTGAATAGTTATAGAAAAGACATGAAGTCTACTATTTAATAGTGAATTAGAAAGAGAACTTTGAGATAAAGCAATGTAAGTTATAATCATAATAATCAATACATTCTCAACATCAATAAAGATATTTGAATGTAAGAAAGAAACATCACTTATATCTTTTGAAGCTTGAACTGAGATGCAATCTTCTGTTCATTGAATACAGAGATGAGAGTGCAAGGTCTACAAGAAGAATTTCAAAGTGTTGAATAAGCTTACAGATAGAACTGACAGTAAGAAATAACAGCTGATTGAATATCAAGAATTATATTAATATTGTGTGTGAGATTCTGTTGCACATTGTCTTGAGCTTGTATGAGATGTTATATTTGATGAAGCTCTTGACATGAGTGCAAATACATCTGTAAATATAGTGAGAGAATTCAATGAATTGTCTAATGAATTGAACATTCTGAATGTCAGAGAGAGATAGCAGCACTGCTTACTATGACATCTAGTGAAGAAAAAGTCAGATGTTTTAAAGATGATTGTCAATGAGAACTTAGAGAGTGTAATTAATTCAATCTACCTTCTAGATAATGAGACACAGCTTATCATAAATGAAGAGTTCAAAGATCTTATTAATAAGAATGATTCTGTTCTAAGTGTTCTAACAGACTGATCAAGTACACTGATGAAAGTCAAAAGAAGCCCAGACTGAGACTATTGACATGAGACAATGAAAAAGAAGATTAAGATATTTGAATAGAAGAAGATATATATTATTGTTGAGAAGGCCCTGGAAATGAATATTCTTACAGATAAATGAGTATATAATTGAAAATTCAATAATAAGAGAGAAATTATTCACTTTAGAGCTCACTGAGTGATTAGAAGGTTCTTATAACAGCAGAGTATTCATTATACAAGATTATATACTGCAGTGATATTAGGGCCTATATCACACAGTCTATTCACTATATTGACTGTTAAAGAATGAAAGATCAAATCAATTGACTATATATCTGCATTTTTGAATGATATACTATCACAGAATGAGATGATCTATATGTAACTATTCACAGGTGTTAAGCACAGTAGAAAAGGCTTGATGAGACTACTTCATCAGAGTCTATATAAAATGAAGCAAGCTGTGAGAATATAGTATTTTCTAGCAATGAAACACCTCATCATATTCAGATTTAAGATATCATCTTATAACAGCAGATTTCTATATCACTCTATTCACAAGATCTATCTGATATTGCATGTTAATGATTATCAGGTGATGAGATTCTAAGAACAGTAATTAGACTGAGTATTGAAGAAGATTGTAAAGAGATTTGAGATAAAGAATGTTGAAGAGACTAAGTCATATCTTGAGATGAAGATTAAATATCAGAGAAATGACAATCTAGTGATTATACAGAGCTGTTATATTGAGAAGATTCTTGAAGATTTCAGCATGAATAAGATAAATCCAGCTGACACTCTGATAACAGCTGGTATATGACTGAAATTCTCATCTGATGAGAGAGAGGGATTGAATAATAACTTTACAGCTATGAGATATTATCAAGAATTGAGATTATTACAGTATTTAATCTCAAGTAGTTAGTCAGATCTGGCATTTGCAGTCAACTATCTCTCATGTTTTAACTCATGTTCACACAAAGCATGTTGGGCAGTGTTGAAGCATGTTCTATGTTATGTCAAGAAGACAAAAAACCATGACATATTGTACAAGAAGGAGATAGAAGATGACCTGAGTTCTATGACATACTGTGATTCAGACTAGACAGAGGTGAATTCTCAATACAAATTGACTACTGACTATCTTATATTGATTAATGAGTCATCAATCTCATAACAGTTGCAGAGACAGACATCTCTCATCAAATCAATCACAGAAGTCAAATATATTACAGCTAGTGAGACAGCTTATGAGATAATCTGATTGAATGATATGTTATATAATACTAGGTTGATGAATAATGAAAAAGTGAAAATATGCTTATATCTATGAGTTGATAATAAGAGAGCAATTGATCTAGCAAAGAGAAAATCCTTAATATGAAGATTATATTATATTGAGATTAGATATCATATTCTCTGTGACTTGATTAAAAAAGAGAAAATAATGATGAAACATGTTGATTCTACAGTGAACATAGCTGATGAGCTCACCAAGTCACTGATGAAGCCTGTGTTTGAAGATTTTATTAAAAGAATTAATTTGAAAGAGATCAGAAAGAAATGATTGAATAATAATAATAATACAGTGAATCAGTGAATTTTACATGTATTTCTTGATTTTTACAGTTATTACTGTATAGATGCCTTTCCTAATAAGGAAATCAGAGTCTAATTAATGTAATTAATTATTATTGCATTTTCAAAAGATTTGAGGATGAGAAAGGCCCCAGGTGGCGGCTTATAGGCCACAGTGTAGCAAGGGGAGGTGTTGGTGATTACTACACCTACCCTAGTCACGTGCCACCTCAACCTATTCATTTAGTGTAACTCGCGTAGTTAGATTACAATACAACACAACAATGTTATTCTTCAAGACAATGAATGTTTTTCTAATGTAAGAGGCCTACGCTGAATAGATTAGTATAATATTGATAGGTCTTATATAACAAAGAGAAAAACATTAGAGAAGAAAAGAAAGAGAAAGTGCGAGAATCAGTGATTGAAGTGAATATTTATACGCGTATGTGATGGCGTACGCGGTGGCCGAGGATCGGCGATCGGGAATGAGGCGGTAGAAATCTATGAAGTGTACGGAATAGTCTATATGATTGATCGGGCGCAGCCCGTCACACAGAGCTATCTTCTCAATATTCTGAATCATAGAGTGCATTTGAGCTCTGAATAAGATCTTAATTCTCTTCTTCTCTGCCAGCTTCTACTAATCAATTAGAGAACAGAAGTATTATCAAAATTCATTCTCTCTTAATACAAAACTCATTAGTTTTGATGTCTTTATCTTCTACTTTAACATCTTCTCAATCTTCTTCTACTACTGCTTATTTACAGTAATATTCTTCTTCTCTCTCTCTCTCTTTATCTTGATCTCAAATCACTCTCAGAACTTCTTCTAGTTTCACTGCTACTGTATAAGACTCTTCACTATCTTCTTTTTTAATCTCTTATATGAAGTGCTATCTGTATTATTTCTATACTTAGTTCAGTCTAAATTCATCAGAAGTGTTACTTAAAATTTTTATCATTCTACTCTCTTACAGAGTCTCTTCAAGGTATTATAATATATCTTATAATCTGTCTTTTCTTACTTAACTATCTTCTTCTTCTCTCTCTTCAATCTGTGATAGCACTGACACACCTTAGTAATTCACAGAACTGTAGAATATTTGAAGAGAGATATCATAATTAATTTTAATAAGTATTAAGAAAGAGTGAAGACAGTTAATAATAATATAATAATAATAATAATAATGTTAATGCTGATAATAATAATAATGATAATAATAGTAATGATAATAATAATAATAATAATAATAATAAAAGAGAGAGTGTATTGAAATATATTATTAACTTATCAAATATAAAGAGACTTAAAGAAAATATTAACAGCTTTCAGAGATGTATAGAAACAGCTACAGTGATGCATAGTAACATTATCTTCATTTAATACATACACTATTGATATTCTTTGTATACAGTTATCATATAATCTATATCAGAGATATATGCAGAAAACAGATCTTTATTACTAGAAAGAATAATTACAGCAATTCTCTATTTTTATATTATAAAGATAAGTTATTCTTATTTCTTTCTTCTCTCTTTTCTCTTCTTCAACTCATCACTAATTTCAAACTGATATGACAACTATTAAAACAGTCTCAGAAATCCTCAAATTGAAGAGTATAGACTAATCAAATTTTAAATACTGAAGAAATCAAATTATCTTCTATAATATCAATTATCTCTTCTTCTCTTAATAAAATAGCAGTCGCGTCCTCTTCTCCCCCTCTCAAAGAAAACATGGCCTGTGAAAAGCAAGTACTACATCAGGTCATAATTATCAACACAGTCTCAGCACACAGAGATGTATACATGCAGTGCATGCTGAACTGAGAGACTGTGTGAGTTATAAATCATTGACAGCATCTCAAGAAGAGTCATACAGTGTGAAAAAGTAATAACTCTCAGTTATATG